TACAGTCAAAGAAAGAATGTAAGACTTTTTATGGCTTATACTGTTACTTAAATTGTCATAATTTTTGAGCTAGAAGGGTTCCTGGAAATTTTCTTGATTCATAACAAATCAAATTATATGGTTGAAATCTGGGCCCAGAAAACCTAAATTAACTGCCTAAAATCACTCATTGGCAGGATCAAAGCCAGGTCTTTGGATTCCCAGTACAGACCTCTTCCAATTACATCATATAGCCTGACATGATAGTTTATGAAAAAATTACTACTCATAATTAAAGCATGCCTTTTGTGTTAAAGTCAGGGCACCAATACAGTCATTACCATTAATTACCAGCTCATTCTTGTGTATTGGGAATTACACGAGACATGCATTAATTATATACCTCAGCCTTTTCCTTATCTCATTTTGCAGATCAGAAAACTGAGGCCCAAAGGATTTACAATACTTTATTTTGGGTCCTATGATTCCCTGGATCTATCTTCTCTGGCTTGGTGCTATGATCTCAGGCTGGCTTCATCTGGGCCATATCATCACTTGCCTCTAGTAAGAGCAAAGGTGAAACCAAATCACCTACTGGACAAACATTCCAATGCCTGGAGTTCTGATGGGATTGGTCTCTGAGCGATCCATAGACTGAGGATAAAATTAACTCAAAGCCCATTAGTGGAGCGTGGGGTGCTGTCTAATAAGGAAGGGTAAATATTGCTTCCTTCAGAAAGGAAAATCTGAGGGCCATTAGACAAAGAAGAAGAGAAGCATGCCTATAATCCCAGCTACCTGGGAAACTAAGGCAGTAGGATCACAAATTGTAGATCAGCCCAGCAATGTAGCAAGACTCTGTTTCAGAATGAAATTGAAAAGGGCTGGAGATATATAGCTTAGTGGTACAGTGCCCCTAAATTCAATGCCAAGTACAAAAAAAAGGGGGGGAAACTAATGGACCTTTTATAGGCAAACAAGGAGTTTACTTTACCACTTCTGTATCCACTCTGCATTTATTTAATTGATAGAATCAAAGATGTAGAACTGGCAGCATAAACCTTGGCAGCAATGTCCCTGGTTGCTTGTTATAAGGTGGTACAGGAAGAATTGTGTATGCCAACTTTAAGCAAGCATCTTTGGATCCTTGTCTGCACATTTTGGCATTACTAAATGACTAGATGCCAGTCTATCAAAGCAGAACCCTCACAAAAGTTACTGGAAATTGTCCCAAAAACTGACTCCACATTTTCCAGGGAGACCGTAAGAGGACTAACAGGGCTAATGGGACCTCAATACTGACTTTTATAACCTCAATTAAAAAAAAAATCTTCCTTGTTTGACTGGCTCCAGACATCCTTCCCTTTTCCTTTAATAAGAACACTCCTCAAAATATGTCACAGTGGCTCTTGACATGTCTAGCTCCTGTATTAGATGTTAGTCTCCTGAGGGGTGGACCAGCTTTAGCCATCTTTGACGCTCAGCCTAGAGCAATATCTCAACCTCAGGAGAGAATGACTGCAACCAAGTGACCAGTGCCAGCTCTGACATGAGGGCTGTGCTTGAGCCCCAATTGTCCCACTTGTCAACCTCAAGAGATTCCCTACAGCCTTCACCGTATCACGTAAGACTTGAATAATGCCCTATCCATCTTAAATGGACAAGAAGGTAAAACTTACATTTTAAATGTATCCAAACTTTTCATGAAATTATTTGCCTCTTGGTTTCCACATGTACTCCTTACAGTATTAAGCACAGTGCCTAATTTTACTTTTCACTGCCATCTTCCTCCACTACTCCCTCCCACAAGCTTTCATTTATGGGAAGAACCTCTTTGTGTTTGGAAAGAATAACTTCAGTTCTAGACCCATTTTGTCACTAATTAGCAACATGTCTAATCTGTCTGTCATCTACAAAACAGGGGTGCTAATATTTTCCTCACAGTTATGCAGGACCGAGTGAGATCATGTAGGTGGAGGTCCTTTAAAATTACTGTGTTCTGGAATGTGATGCCCAGGTAGGTCTCCATTTCCCTCTATAGTTCTACCGGTTTTGGACAGCTTCCAAATACAACACTTCAGAAGAAAGGATTTCTTTTAAGGTGCATCTGATTACTTCCTATGTTCATCCACATGATTGATGGGATGATTCTGTTCTCCAAACATCTACACAGCATGGAAAACAAAGCAACTCATTGTTACATTTGACTACATCCAGTTTCAAAGTAAGGATATGAACCCCTTCACTTTAAATGCCAGTGTCCCTTGACTCTGCCCGGTCCTGCAGGACTGCTGTGTTTGCTAGGGCCTGCCAGAGGAGGCTTATCTTGATATTTTCAAGACAGCACAAACTTTAGCTTGAGAGTTTGAGTTTGTTTCAATGTTACTTCCCTTTTATGTTTGCTTTAAAGTAATAATCATCCATTTGTCGCCTTCTCCTTCTCCTTTTCCTTCTCCTTCTTTAGCTTTGTGCTTTCCCTGGTGTTACACACCATTAAAATTGCATCTAGCTGGGTACAGTGGCACACACCTGTAATCCCAGTGGCTCAGGAGGCTGAGGCAGGAGGATCAAGAGTTCAAAGCCTGTCTCAGCAACTGATTGAGGCCCTAAGCAACTCAGTGAGACCCTGTCTCTAAATAAAATACAAAATAGGGCTGGGGATGTGGCCCCTGAGTTCAATCCCTGGCACTGCAGCGCCCCCCGCCCCCCCCCCCCCCCCCCCCGCAAAACAAAACTACAAATCATGGAGTCGGGTGAATATTAGAACACTAGTTGATATTTAGCACCCACTCTGTGCTTAATTTACACTTGTCACCCAATTACTATAGGCATCTCACAGCAATCAATTAAAATCTATGTTTGAGATGAGGACACTGCGGCAGTTGTCCGAGATCATAACACCAGAACTGGTCCCAAGTCCTGTCTAACTTCAAACCCAAACTTAAAAAAAAAAAATTATTTGGGGCTAGGATTGTGGCTCAGCTGTAGAGTGCTAGCCTAGCGCAAGCGGGACCCAGATTCGATCCTCAGCACCACATAAAAATAAAAATAAAGACATTGTGTTGTGTCCATCTACACCTAAAAAATAAATATTTTTTAAAAATTTATTTATTTTTTTAGTTGTAGTTGGACACAATACCTTTATTTCACTTATTTATTTTTATGTGGTGCTGAGGATCCAACCCAGGGTCTCGAACGTGCGAGGCGAGCGCTCTACTACTGAACCACAACCCCAGCCCCTCAAAGCCCAAAATTTTATTTTCAATTTTTGGTTTTGGTTTTGTTGGAGGATGAGAGGAACAGAGGTTAAAAAAAAAAAAAAAAGGTGGTACTTGATCAGGCATTTGGTATTATATGTTTAATTCTCTTAACCTAGACCTCATCATTCCTTCCTGTTATCACTTCAGTGCAGGTTTTATTCCTGAAAATGAACTTGTCAGCAAATCATATTCCTTTACATCTTTCTGGAACAATTCCAGATTCTTAAGATATTACAGATTAAGTATCTGCCTAAAGGCATTCCAGAAAGCAGACAGCCTAGAGAAGGCGTGGGGGATAAATTACATGAGTGAGTTCGTACAACACTGCTAATAAAACCTACTGAATGGGTAAAAGGCAAAGGGTATAATTTGCTGACAAGGTAGTTTAGTTCTGGCTACCAAGAATTAAAAACACAAAAAAGAAGAGGAGGAGGAGGACGAGGAGGAGGAGGAGGAAGAAGAAATTATTTCTTTAAACTGCAAAAGGGAAAGAAGCCTACTCAAAGCGGAAATGAAAAAGTTTCCAATGCTGAGAATTTATTTGTATAAACTCACAAAGAAAGAATCTCTTTTTGACTTTAAAGTATGTTTTCCTTGGACAATAAAATAAGATTACATTCTACATTGGTCAAACTTTAAATGTGATTAGAGTTTATAAAATACAAATCCTTGTAATCCCAGGAGGCTGAGGAAGGAAGATCAAAAAAAATTCCATGCCAGGCTGGCATTGTGGACAAAAAATAAATACAAAAAATAAAAATTATACAAGTCTTACAATGTAGTAAATCTTTTCCATTTCACACACACACACACACACACGTATACACACACACACATATGTTTTTCATTTTTCCTTTCGTTACTTTTCTCTCTGATGAGTAAATTCCTCTATGAGAGGTCCCTATATGAAAAAGGAATAAAACTAGTCTCTGGATTCTTCTGAATTTGATTTCTTAGGTTGACAGATGCAGAAAACGTCTTTCAAAAAAAAACCATATTAAGTCAAATGATTTAAGAACATAAAAGAAAATGTGACTTCTAGGATAAATTTTGGTGAACAAAAAGAGTGAAGTGCAGAAATCATGATATACTTGCATATTTAAAAATTAGGCAAGCATTTTATTCAAGTGCAAGTTATTTCTAAAATATAGAATAGGGTTTCTTTGCGGGGAAATCTGCTTTCACAGAAAGCAGAGCACCGTTTATATTTTATCTATCCTTTCCTTCACACTCATTAACTGCCTCTTAAGTGAAGCAAAGTGGTGTGGGGGCTCAGAGGGTCGGCGAACTGATACTTGGAAAAAAATACCACTACAGGCTTTTCTGGGCGAGGTCAGGGCTAGAATGCAGGGTGCTGATGATGCCTGGTTTAATGCACATCAAGAGCTATTTGTCTCATTGCTTTAGAGGGAAAATACCCTAATGCTAAAGTATCCCTAGACGTAAGCAAGCCGAGTTTGGAGGCAGGAAAAGTGGCCGCCCTGGCGGGGCTCCTGGATGGCCCTCCTCCCTGCTCCTGGCCCCCGGGGCACCTGTCCCCCCGCCCCACCCCTGCTCCCCACTGAGGGCGGTCTCCGGACGGGGTGGCAGTGTGAAACGAGTGTTGTCCCTGACTGCGGGGCGCATCCCGGGAAGGCAGCGACGCCCTCCCCACCTGCGCAGGGGCGCCGCAGCCACCCGCCCAGAGCCCGATGGGCGCGCCGCCAGGGCTGGGGAGGGGCCGCGCGGAAGGGTGGAGGGCGGAGGCCGGGCGCAGGGCAGGGCCCGGCAGTGCCTCGCGGGCCGCTGGGGCAGCTCAGGGGCCGCAAATCTCTCCCTAGAGCAGAGAGCATTTGCCCTGAGGGTCCGACACATCGCAGGCGCCACCGGATCGCTGGCCATGAGGACCCTGTGGATGGCGCTGTGCGCGCTGGCGCATCTGTGGCCCGGGGCCCTAGGTGGCTGCGCCGAGGCGGGGCGCTGTTGCCCTGGTCGGGACCCCGCCTGCTTCGCCCGCGGCTGGAGGCTGGACAGGGTCTATGGGACCTGCTTCTGCGACCAAGCTTGCCGCCTCACGGGGGACTGCTGCTTCGACTACGCCAGGGCGTGCCCAGGTGGGTGGCTGGGCTCAGGGTGGGGGCGCCACCCCTTTGCCCGCAGCCAACCCGCATTGGGCCGGGCGCGGCGCCAAGGACCGCAACCCAGGAGCTGGTGTTCCCCAGCCTCTTCCATTCTGGCCTGTCCACTCCATCTGTCCAAGTCCCCTCCCAGCCACCTCCATTCATACCCAGCTCAATACTCTCCACCTAGACAGCTCAAAGCACTCCTCCCCACCAGAGCCTGGATGAAAGGAGTTGGAGCCCTCTGCTCTTCTCCTTGAAGGTTGCAGGGGGCCACCTCTGCTCTGGAATTGTGAGACTCAGGATCTCCATCTGGGTAGGGCCACATGGTGCCTGGAAAGATGGCGTTGACAGGCTCCAGCATCATGCCCTGGAGCAAGGCCAGACTCCACCTGTTATTCTTTTAACCCTCAGGAATTTTTTGAGCTGGTGAGTGGTAATAAGGGCAGGAAGGTGTGATTGCCCCACTTTGTGTCAAACTTACTCAGGGAGAGTGTTTTGCTCTGGAGAACAAGTTCTTGGAGGACTGAGGTTGTGCTCACCTCTGGACCCTACCACATGGCACGGCTCTTTCCTCTTAGGAAATGTTCATTTTTCCTTTGGGTCAGCCCTTTTCATCTAAATTTCGACAGGATCTCACAGTTTCTTGCCTCTGCAGGATTCAATAAATGCTGGGTTCAATTGAATTAAAAGGTAAAGGAAGAAATGGTAAAGTATAGTGTTGCAGAACATGGTGTGCCTGAGAAAATCCAGCTCTGGAAGTAAAAGTAGTCCTGCTCCCTGCTAATCACATCACCCCAAAAGCCACACATAGGTTGGGGTTTGCATTCAAGAATCCCAGTGTGTGGAATCCTCCGTGTCTTCTAGGGAGAAGAACCCACAGGGCTGTGCCATCTTCCAAGAATTGGATGCCCAGTAGGAATGAGCACCCCTCCTCCCTCTTTGCTGCATGAGAAGGCTGCCAGTCCCTGGCGGTGCCTGTCACCTCAGCCTGGTACTGCAAGAATACAATTGAAAAACATTAAGATTTGTTGACACTGGTTGAGAGCTAATGATGTACCCATGATAGTTATAGTTAATCTGTCCCCATGAATAAGTAATCTTTTTGATAAGCTTCTTTGCTTTTCTTGCTTCAAGGCCAGGGTATTTAAAGGCGGGGAAGTCAGCTATTTAGGAAATGCAGTGCCCTCCGTGGGCCTGTCTCTGGCCCATCCTTGGAGCATCCTAAACTCCTGTTTGCCTCTCTTACCTGGATAACTCCAGCAAAGCCTCTCTCAAGACAGGATCACAGTCTCATGAAGGGCCTGCTACATTTCAAAGGTAATTACAGAATTTATGTAGCCAAGATGATGTGTCCAGGTCTGTGATAAGCACAGGGACACAAAGATGCAATCTCTGCTCCCTAGGAGTTTACAGTCTAGCCAGGAACACCTGTAACACTGCATGCAATATGCTCCTGTACAGTAGTCCCCCCTTATCTGCAGAGGGATACATTCCAAGACTTCCAGTGGATGCCTAAAACTATAGATAGTAATGATGGCTACATATACTGTTTTTTTCTTATATGCCCTATAGCACTGTCACATAGTAGGAGGGTTAATCTGTCCTTCCACTGTTTTAAGCCCCAGGGCCTCCTTTGGTCTTCCTGAGTTACTCAGGGCCTCACTAAGTTTCTGAGGCTGGTTTTGGGCTTTGAACTTGCAATCCTCCTGCCTCAGCCTCTCAAGCTGCTGTGATTACAGGCATGTGCCACCACGCCCAACTATATGGCTTTGATATACTAGACAAAGGCATGATTCACATCCCTGGAAGGACAGTGTGAGATTAAACCATGCTATTTACAGTGGCTTGCGATTTCAAATTTATGAATTGCTTATTTCTGGAATTTTCCATTTGATAGTTTCAGATAGCAGTTGACCATGGGTGATTGAAACAACAGGAAGTGAAACTGGAAATAAGGCGGGGGGGGGGGGGACCACTGCCAAAATGGGTGATCTGGGAGGTGATCTATGAGGAAAAACTTAGAAGACCTGAAGAATGCAAAGAAGACTTCCCAGAGGAAGTCACGGATGACCTAGTCAGGATAATAAATAAGAGGTCTCCAGGGAAAGGGTGGGGGTGCTGCTCTGGGAGGGAAGCTTAACATTTTTGTCTAGCAGGTAACGGTGCAGGGCAATCTGTGCCAGGTCCTGTCCTAGACCCTGAAACTAAAAGAGTGAACAGGACAGAGGGTGGATGCAGCCAGATCTGGAGAATTTCAGCACCTGAGAGGGATGGGTTAAAATGAGGCAAGTGTGGAGAGAGGGACTTGCTTTCTAAGGAGACCTAACAGTGCTAACAGGATTCGCAGAATCCTCAAGTCTTCATCACGCACACACAAATGCAATCACACCCCTACCTTATTTTCAGTCTAGGAGGTAGAAATAGTAGGACCAAGTGTGAGTTATTTTGGAGTAGGGATTTATAGGATAAATACAGAAGAGATAAGCAAGCTTGCCATCTCCTGAAGAACTGAAAACAAATCACTGTAAGCGCCTGCCTGGGAGAAGGGCTGTGAGTGGTAGATGAAAGAACCAAAGCCAGAAAAGGAAATGGTATCTTTAAAGGAGCAGGGATCCCTACCTGTGCTTTCCCAGGGTGTCAACAGAGGACCTTGCAGACCTAGATAAGAGAGAAGCAGACTCAGCCCTGAAAAGGCTCCTGCTGTAAACTCTCTGCAGTTGAAGTTCCTTGTAAAGGGGAGAAGAAAATAAAGATGGTCAGAAGCTGGCCGCTTGCTGAGAATAGGGCCCAGACTCCTCTGCCCTGAATCAGCACAACTGGACTCTCAGCTGGGTCACCACAGGCCTGCCTTCCAGGCCCAGAGCTGACTGACAGTTGGGAGCCCACTCAGAGGCAAGATGTAGAATGAAGGCTTCCATTCTTACAGAGAATTCCCTCTGAATATTTACTGTATACTTGTGATTATTTTTTCCTCCCAGAAATAATCCAAATGCAGAATTTTTCCCCACTAAAGTCAGAGAATATTGGGTTCAATCTTTTACCCTGCCACCTACTGTCTCTGTGTGACTTTGGAGAATGTATGTCTGTCTGCCTCATGGGGCAAAAAGTGTCTCTCTCTCTTTTTTTTTTTTGTACTGGAGATTGAACCCAGGGGTGCTTAACCATATCCCCATCCATATATATATATAGTTTTTTTTTTTTTTTTAGAGACAGGGTCTTGCTGAGTTACTTAGGGCCTCTTTAATTTGCTGAAGCTGGCTTCGAACTCACAATCCTCCTGCCTCAACCTCTAGAGCCACTGGGATTACAGGCGTGTACCACTGTACCCAGCTAAAGTACCTCATTTATAAAAGGGGAACGATAAGACCACCATGTGGGACTATCAAGTGGACAGAAAGAGATAATATCAAAAGTGCCAGGGACCTGGCATATGGTAGGCACTTGGGTAACAAATGTATCATTGGTCAGCTCTTATCATCAGTGGACATGGATTAACATTTTATTTCATTAAATATGTATTCAATAAATTTATAACAATATAGTGCAGTCATTTGTATTAGTTTAAATAATAAGTATCTTTTATTGAACTCCCACCATGTGCTAGGTACTGACATACTTATTCAATCTTCCCAAAATTTCTGTAAGAAAGATAAGTCTGGTCCACAATCCCAAAATCCAAAAAAATTGATAATCAAAGTCTAAAAAGTGCTAAAACTTGAAAGTTTTTTTCATCATCATTTGGTACCAAAACTCTCGCCTTCCCTGAACTGATGAGGGGAAGACTATTGATAATCTTTTTTCTATCCCATTATAGTATAAATATATTTTGCCTCAAAAATATTAACATATTCTGCAAGGATCTACCCTAGCTCTGCTGGGGAGAGGGGATATGCAGATTCTACATTTAAGAAATCCTGAATTCTAAAACTCATCTGCTTCTAGGATTTGGGAAAAGAAATGGGCCTGTATTAGCATTTTTAAAAAGCAGTAGCTGAGACTTTCCAAGGGTTCCCATTACTCAAGTTCAAATGAATGAGCAGTAGAACTAGGAACTTGAACTCACGACTATTTGATTTAAAGTTGCCACTGGCCACATCTGTTGGTGAAAATTCATGATTATTATATATTACTAGATAAAGCAAAGGTTACCTAGGAGTCCCCATTCACTCTCCATACCCAGAAACTTTCAGTGTCTTAGAATCTGTCTTCCTTCTTACCCAAGGTTATATAACTCATTGCTGATGCCCAAAAAGCCTTTTTGTTTTTTAACCCGAATTTATTAAAGCCTTTAAACCTAACAACAATTGATTGTTCTAGGTAGGAACTGGTTGAAAACAATGTCAGTGTCATAAAAACAGTTATGTAGATTTTCAGTATACTTTTTAAAAGTTTTTAAAATTTATTTATTTAAGTATATATTGCCGCAGTCTGGCTGGGCACAAATGCCGCAGTCTGGCTGGGCACACAATCCCGAGCCACCACACAGCTTGTAGATTCAAACAGCAACTCTTTATTCCCGAACTCACACCAGCCGTCTACAATCACGTTCTGGGGAAATCCACGTTCTCTTCCCAAATCCACCTCCACTGGGCTTCTATCTCCAAAATATATTGTCTGAATCCCGTGAGAACTCAAGGGGAACTCAGGCAGCAGGATACGCCCTATTCCCAGCAGGAATAATGTTAAACCTTAAACCTGGAACCTAAACTGGGAACGCCCTAAACACGATTATCTTAAAACCGGGAACACCCTAATCTGCCTTGGTCCTTGAGCAAGGTCACGTACATTCAATGTCACTGCAACATGTCAGCAACATGGGGTACGCTGGCAAGGAAATTGTCATACCTACTTGGCTAATGGCTCCCAGCATATATGACAACAGAACTCATTCTGATTCATTGTACACAATTGCAGCACAACTTTTCATTTTTCTGTTATACAGGATGTAGCATCGCACCATATGTGCAGTCATAAATGTACCTAGGGTAATG